TTTTGTTGTTATATACCTGGATGACTGAGAAAACAAACTTTGTGTTTTTGAAACCATTAGTGAAAAGGCCAGACTTCAGGGGTATCTGAGGCAGGCTTGTAACACAAGAGTCAGGGTGGCTTCTGGGTAATACCAGATGGCTAGGCCTCAGACTGACGAAGCCTCTTGGATGAGGGGCGAAACGTTTCTTTTTAACAAAAAAAACGAAGTCCAGATGACATGATTCAACCTTTTTTGTTATTACTCACGAGATTTGGCTGTATGGGATGAAAAAGTTAACGAAAAAATACTTCGGCCAGACATAGCCATTTTGTAGTTTTCTTTCAATAAACTTATAATGTAATGCCAGTCAAAAGAACTACACTACCCAGAAGCCAACAGTGTTTCCGGCCACTGCTCTGCTGAAATGGAGGGAACGTTTTGCAATGCAAAGTCAGAAGTAACGATCTACCTACTTAAGCTCCCAGAACTGGCAGGAAAGTCACAAATAATCCTGAAGCTTCCTGAAGTACTACAGTATATAAATATGTATGCTGTTAAAATTACATAGGTTTAAGAGTTTAGAACATTACAAGAGTGTGGTAAGAGTTTATAAAGCCTTAAAATATATATAAATACTAAAATAAATATAGTGTTCCTATACTTCACAGTTTTTCACCTATCGTGGTGGTGTGTGGAACGTAACCACGATAATCAAGGGACTACTGCAATGCAATTAACAGAACTCATTGATGAAGCCATATGTTGAGTGTTGTATCAAAAACTCCCCTTTTCTCCTTTGCCTGCTTTGCCCCCCTCTTCCTATACACCCCTCCCCATCCCTGGAGCTCACCCAGCTTCTTCAGGGAGCTGTAGCGGTTGAGTTCTGGTTTCATGACCGTCTCGTAGGATGGTGGCAGTTGGGCCAGGTTGTGGAAGGAGTGGGAGAAAGACGGGTGGTTGCTGTTGTATCTCGTGCTCCCTCCCATGATGCCGCCTCCTCCGACGCTGACCCCTCCAACACCTTTACCACTACCTGAAATCAAGGTGGGACCGGATGATAGCTGGGCTGTGTTGTTCATACGAGTCCCACGCTCTGGTAAGAGACATGAAAAGACAGACAGGAAGAGGAAAAGAAGTGAATGGGAGATTAAAAATAAGACGATACATGAAGAAATAGAAAAGAGGAAATATACTATAGTTAAAAAATTGGAAAAATATTCAGAAAAAGAGGGAAATAGAGTGCGATAAAGGGAATCATACAATAGGAGAACATCAGAAACTGAAAACAATAAGGAAAAGAAAAAGACTGAACAAGGGTAGAGTCCAATCTGGTCAACTATAAGTGAACGCAGGACATGTCTCAGAGCTCCATGGTGACCGTCTATAAATACAACTGTGTGCTGTTCATCTAAGGCTCCGACACCAACATATCAGCCACATGTAAATACAGAAAAATACACTGATAGCTTCAGGAAGAATCGCTGCACAAATACACACAATCACATTTATGCACAGTGCAAAAGCAGCACATCGATCAATGCACATAAAAAAAAAATTGTGTAATATTAGCAGCAAAGGGAGGAATGTCTACTTTGCAACATGTATAATGATCGTTAGTTACACAATACAAGTGCATTCGTATATGCTCCAAACAGCCAACAAACAGCCATTAAACAGTGCACTGTGTTGGTGCACTCAGCAGGGACCCTAAACGTAGAAATCCCAATTCTGAAAAGTTGGGACGTTGTACAAAATATAAATGTATAGAAAATACAATGATTAGCAAATTTCATAAACCCACTTTTTATTTGTAATAACTACTGTAAACATATCAAATGTTTAAACTAGGGAATTGTACCTTATTTAAGATTGTTATATGGCAGTGCCACATTTTAAGAGTTAAGACAAGAGCAACTAAAAGATAGAAAAGGTAGTAGAACTAATAAGGACTATTTAGGTCAATTGACAACAGGTGGATTAGGCATGAAAAGGGGCAGAAACATCCAGTTTTCTTCCACTGAACCATTTAGGAATCTCTCAGATTTAAAGATGGGCAGAAGTTCACCAGTTTGTGAAAAACTGTGTAAAACATTGGGAAATGGCAAAACTGCAGAGTCTGCGTGAAAGTTTGGTTCGTGCTTTGAGAACTCAAAATCAGCTGTTTTACGTGCTAAACCGTAAGATAGAAGCGATTTGTGAGAATCGCAGGCTACCTAGAGATTCTGGGATCCGCCAGAATATTGGGGACGACCTTGGAGGGGGTTCATAAGCACGGACCAGTGGAATGCCCACAAATCTGACCATTTTGGATCAAAAGTACCAGCAGGTGTTTTCGTCAAAACAGTCTGCCTGAAAAATCAACAATTGTGGCTTAACTGAATGTGACTCCCCCGTTTGGCCTTAAAAGCAGACCGACTTATCAAATTTCTCCTGGGACATGGGTAAACTAAGGAAAAACTTTGTATATCACAACACCCCGAGAACTTCTGAGAAAGCTTATTAGAACTGTACTGACTGACACCAACATCTTATCAGGATAAGGGGTCGCGCTTTCAGGAGCAGCAGCAACATGCACTCCGCCCATCTTTCAGATGACTGCACAAACATAACCTCACTGTATTTTGATGCAATGATAATAAAGCTTATTCTGATTCTGATTCAGTTAGAATGTTGTTCCTCATCAAGAATTGAGGACGACTGTGAATATCCCACATCTACAGTTCATAATGTCATCAAAGATGCCAAGAATCGGGAGAAACCTCTGTGTGCCATGAGACAGGTCAAAGGTCAGTATGGCCCTGGAAAGCCACTGCAATAAAAACAGGTCTGGTTCTATGTACATCACTGCACGGAATCAGGAAGATGTCCACAAACCATTGTCAGTAAACAAAGTTTGCCATGTTGTCCACAAATGTTTGTTAAAGCTCTACCACGAAGGAATAAATCCCATGTAAACACCATCCAGAAACACTGCTATCTTATCTGGGTCAAAGCTCGTTTAAAATGGACTGAGGCAAAATTTAAAAACTGCTTTGTGGATGGGCACATCAAAATTTGTAATTATTTTTAGAAATCAGGGACATCATGTCTCCCAAAGATGTAGAAGAAGGAACAATCTGCCTGGTTACACCGTACAGTTAAACAATATGCCTCTCTTATGGTATGGGGGTGCATTCGTGCTCCAGCAGGGTTAGGGATGGGCAACTTACACATCCTAAAAAGACACTGTCATTGCAGAATAGCAGCTTGGCATTTACAGGTTTTAGAGCAACAATTGTTCCCATCCAGCAACAAAGACAAGAATGCTGAACAGCTAGAACCGACATCAGACTGGAAAGGGACAACGCCCCCCTCCAAAACCCCCCAGCAGCTGGTTCCCTTCCCAGTAAAAACCTGAGCCTGTCCCAACTCCTTTTTTAGATGCGTTGCTGCTATAATATTCCAGAATACCTTATACCTTAATGATTTATTGTTTATTTTTAGTTAAACATCTTCTAAGTTAAATATGTTCTGTTGTGAGTAAAATGTGGGTTTATAAAGATTTTTTTTTTTCCAATTATTGCATGCTGTTTCCGATTACCTTTTAACCACAACATTCCAACTATTTCGCAATTGGGTTCGTAATTTCTGTACATTTAAAAACGGGCAAATATTTTATATTTCCCTTTAAATCAGGGCTATTCAACTAAATTGCTCAGGGGGTTAGTTGCTGGAAGCCAGCGCTCAGGGGCCAGCGATTGTCATCAAGTAAGTTTGTTTTATGGGTTAAAATCTAGTTTTGTTTAAAAATGAACCCACTGGTGGGCCAAACTGAGCTCACCTGTGGGCCAGATTTGGCCCCCGGACCGCCAGTTGAACAGCCCTAGCTTACACCATAAAGAAGCTCCTTGCTACTTATGATTATCCCCGTAAGGAGGAATCAGAAGAGGAAATTTTACAAAAGGAAAAAAATAAATAGAAGCTTAACTGCTGAATGTCAACAGCGACCGCGAGAGCTGAGATCATAAAGTGACAATTAAAGTTTGTGTAACAGAGGCCATTTGTTGCTGTTTTCTCTCGTAGACACGATCAGCGCTGAGTCCATTCAGGGCGGTAACGGTTATGGGTTACGATCTTGTTAAGATAACTGCAGGACATATACTGGTCATTGACCATTGACAGTAATGGGCAGTAATGGCCAATGATGTCTCTGTTAAGTGCCACCCGGGGAACACAAACCACATCGACTTCTGCACGGTACTCGTTACACACACGCACGCAAACACACACACACACAGGAAAAGCAATGCCAGTTCTGAGATTGCATGGCTTTAAAGCACAAACTATTCATGATGAAGGCTGGAGGAAAAGAACACCGTAAAGCATCAAATCTTGACAGAACCGATACAGGATCATTTCTTAGGTTTCCCCTTTTTAAGGTGGGAGGGTTTCTAATGTGATGACGGACAGTTTTGATTAAAAAAAAAAAAAAAAAAACTTGGTTCTATGAGTTCAGAGAGTGTGAAACAGTTATATCTTCTGTCTCAACATAAATCTGCTCTTCACATTGATGGTAAGGGAACTGCAGTCAACCAGACAGCCGCTCTAAAGAGCAGGGGTCTGGGGCTCCGGGGTCACATGCAGCTCTCGAGTACGTCTGCAGTGGCGCTCTTGAGTTATAACTCAAAATGTATTTATATTCATAACCCTAGTTTTTGCTAAGGTAATGATTTGCAGTTGATGTGTGAACAAAATCGGCATCGGAAGTGTGCCGTTCTGTGCGGCTGCATGTTGGAGCAGATCTGTTACTTTCATTCTGAGATTTTGCTTTTGGAAACTTTAATTCCTCTTTTTCTTGGTGCAAATCACTTTTTTTTGGATGATTGTTTCCTCTGGTATCAGATGCTGTGCAGCTAGAAGGATTTTTACTCACATTTTTTTTACTATTGGACATTTGTTATGATGCGTAACCATGACAACAAGGTTGTTCTGTTTTTTAAACAATCGAGAGCAGCTGACTAACATATCGAAAGTTCAAATATCTCAACTACAGCCCCAAATCTCAAATGAGTTGAAAAGGAGGCACCATGAATGCATTCTCATGTACCTGCCGGCTGTGCTCTGACCACTGATCTTGGAAATGGCAGGAAACATGGCTCGTGAGCAGAAGGACCAGGATCATCCCCCAACACCTACAGTTGGCTGTCCGCAGCGACGAGGACCGCAGTAGACTGCTGGGAGGAGTGGCCATCGCTCTGGGAGGAGTTCTGCCCGGCATTCAGGTGGTCCTGAAGCCCAGAGGAACTGAGAGGCCAGCCCAGTCTGGGTATATGGATTGGATGGATCTGCAGCCAGTTTCTTTGGATCCACTGTGGGATGGACCTTTACAAGAGATCATTCCTACCTACAGCCATCGGGATCTATAACATCTCTTAATGAACTGAGGATGATGAGTTACAACAACGTTTAATTTCTCTTTGTGATTAATAAAGTATTTTTGAATTGAATTGAATTGAAATTTTTGTGAAAGAATGAGACTAATACTAATACTAATTAATACGTAATACGAATATTGACTAATACTGTATTTTTCTTCTTTCGGCTGCTCCCTTCTTCAGGGGTCGCAACAGCGAACTAAGTCACACAAAGACTTGGCAATTACTTTTACGCCGGATGTCCTTTCTTACACAACCACAGACCACCGAGCTACCACAGCCTCTGTGTGGAGCAGAGAGCTGCATCTAGGGCGCCCAGGGGAGCAGATGGTGGGGGTTAAGGGCCTTGCTCAATGGCCCAGAGTGGGGCAAATGAGGGTGGAGGCAGATATGGGTGCTTCACCTATCCCACCCACATTTTGATGTTGAATACTAACACTAATACTGATACTGATATGTATAGTAATATTGACTAACTACCTCTATACTCCATCTTCTGGCTGTACAGTGTTTTCTCCTAAATCTACCAGAAAATGAAACATTTAAACACATTTAAGATACTAAGGGGAATAAAGTGCAGTGTTGTATCAATTGGACTTTAAAATAACACATTTATAAAGAAATATGACAAATAATTTGTATATAATGTAACTATATAAATATACATATTTATATTTATATAAAATGCATGATATTTCTATACCACTCAATAAGTTGTGTTATCTTTATTTCAACTTTAAAGAACATTTATCAGTGGCATTTGCACTTTATTGTCACACACAGTAACTACTGATCCACAGCAATGTTATGTGTTGCACGTTTGCACAAGTGCACTTTATTTAATTTTGCGTTAGTGCACTTTTGTCTTGCATTGTTGCACGCGTTTGCACATGAGCACTTTGTGACATTGATCATTTTCATGTAGCATCTTGGAGGAACATGGTTTCGTTTAACTGTGCACTGTGCACGCTGTAAATGTTTAAAATAGCAACAAATCCATTTGAACCTGAACTTCATTTTGAAGCTTTACTGCTTGATTTAGTGAGAGAAACAGCAGATATCTGACCTTAAAGGTTGCAGCTGCCTGTTTTAGAAATGAGGCTTTCTGCTGTTATTGAGCATGCATCAGGATGCTTTCTGCTGTGGTTTACACAAATCATTTTCAAAGATTATATTTCTTATTTTTGGCTGACAACTTCAACATATTTTGTTGTGTTTTTATTTCTGTAATGCCAAACTTCATTTTTAGTACGTTTCGATTTTCACTTTTTGGTTTGGCCCAACTGTTAAGCATTTGGTCAACTTCAGATCAGTGCACAAAAGAAAAGCACTATGAGGTTGACATGAGACAACTCCCTCTGACCAATTTGTGGTCAGTGTTTCAGTTGAACATCAGTTCATTTTGTTTGTACAAAAAGGGAAAACAGTTAATTTTTTTCCTTGTTTCTTAAAACAGTATCAGGGATGAGCTAAAGTGGAAAAACAAACCAAAAATCCAATTAACAAAGGAAACTATTAGACCCGAGCTGAGTTAAAACAGACCATGAAATGGAAAATGACCTAAACACAGGAAGAGTGGGGACAAAAAAATTCAATAACTAAACCAATAAAAGGTTTAAAGGCTTGCTTTTGGAACCAAAAATGCCATTTATTGAAGAGGCATTAATGAAGTAAAAGCACGATAGTGAGAAAATCTCTAAAAGTAGGGATTTTTGTAACTTTTTGCCATTTTTTGTTACATTTCCATTTAAAAATAGTGAAAGCTTAATTAGAAATAGTGCTTTTAAATGAATTATTATGCCTATATCAGATTTTAAACTTGAGTTGTTTTTTTGATCTTTTTGAATGGCTGAGCACGTCCTACCCATACACACAACCTGCAAACTGAAAGTTCAATGAAAACGATACTAATCCTTCTTTATCATCATCTTGTTTCCACGGCAACCGCATCCAGCATTCTTCCAGTCTTTATGTAAGCCTTCATCTACAGTTCATGCATTTCATCTATCTGTAGCACATTTTTTTCTTAAATAAGACACCGGCATTGCTTTTTTATGGTTGTTTGTTTTTGTTTTTGTTTTTTTTGTTGCAAAGCCTGGGAAAACAGACTCGGGTGAGAGAAGTGATCTCTTCAGACCTTCTCTCGTTTTCAGCTGGAAGCACACTTGCACATCACTGCATCACAGAGAGGAAAAACAGGAACAAGCACAGTTTGGAAGCAGGCTTGTGGTGGTGGGAGACAAGGAGAAGACAGGCTTGCGGTAAGCGAGGACAGGCCAGACAGCTTGAGGCTCATGCTCTTATGACAGATGTGTCATTTTCAACACAATCCGTGACAAAGTAAAGTAATTTGTAGAAACATTTGCGGTAATTTAAACCAAAAATACATGTTCGTGTTGACTTTGGCACAGCTGTTTTAAGAGTGCAGATCAGCAGGCCGTCATATGGACATACAGACAGACGGACAAAGTGGTGGGAAGGCCGTGAGTCTGGACAGCAGCTCGCCGCCGCCTGCGCCGGCAGGTGCTGCCACCCACGAGGCTTACCGATGGTAGCAGAGTGTTTGGGGCTGGAAGCAGACCCCTGCTGGTTAAATGGGTGGTGCAAAGTCCCAGCTGCAAAGAGAGCAGAGCCAACAGACTGATGGACGACCACTCGAGAGACACAAGAAGCCCGTGTCGCGTAAGCATTTGTGTCAATAAAGAGACAGAGAGAGGACAGTGGCTGAGACAGGACAGCGAGAGGAAAGGACAGGAAAGAGAAAGTGACAGTCCCTGCAGGATTGTATTTTCTGTCCGGTACAGTTGCTTCAATGTCACTTTTTTTTGTTGCACTTTTCAGTAAATTCAGTAACAAATCAACAGATTATTTTTTTAAATAATTGGACAAATTCAACCAAATGTCATAAAATTAATCTGTAATTAAACTAAGATTCTATAGAATTTACCCTAAAGGGAAAATTTACTTTGATAATTACTGAAATTTTAGTCTTATTAATGGAAAAAAAAAAAAAAGTTTAATGTCAGATTGTTTACGCCGTTATGAACCGAAACAAACATAAAACATCACTAAAATGTTCTGGGCAGAACATGAAACCCTGTAAGGATTGTAAGAAAAATAAAGATGAAGGCAAAGAGACAGTGAAGACATAAAGAAAGAAACGTGTGTGTTTTCACTCCGACTGTGAGCTGTTAATCACTTCCACCTCTGCAAAACAGTGAGCAAACAGAACATTATGTGTTATTTATTGATTGTTTTACCTTTAAGTTAACTTTTGACTCCGTAAATGCAGGATGCCTTTGTGTGAACAGCTTATGCATTTAAAATATCAGCAAAATATAATTTATTTTAGATGCTTTAATGTTTATATTACATAAAACATTCTTCATTAGCAAAGTTGTAACAAATTGCATGTTCATGTCAAAATAAAAGTTTCTTCATTTATCTTCAATGTTTTGACCCATCTGTGTGTGCAGATTGATTTTTATTTTTCTACTTCTGGACGAACAAAATCTAAAACTGAGTTTTTTTTTCAGTCCAGTTCGTTGAGAGTTTTGATTTTCTTCTGTGAAGCCGCAGCGGCTGACAACATTTCTGTCTCATCAACTGTTTTCCACCTGACGTGTGAAGTGTGTTTCTGTTCCTGAGGTCGAAGTGAGATTTGAAAAACAAAAAGAACAGACGTGATAATTACTGTCCTCGTCACTCGGGACAAAACGAACTAGCCTGATTCAAAATTGTGACGCCACTGTTCACGTTTGCACCTCATCGCGATGTGCGAACACGTTTCAGCTGGATGCACCGGTCACTTACTGCGGTTGTCTTTCATCTGCAGGATGGGCGTGTAGAGGCTTTTGGATGTGCGTCCGTCGGAGGTGGTCAACACTGCAACGTTGTTCCTCTCGCCTTGCTGCATGGGGCTCGACTGATGACGCAAGATGTCCACCAGTGACCTGAAGAAGGACGGGCAGGATGAAGCGTGCCGTGCTTTATAAACTGATTTCCTGTTTGTGAGATATTTAAGCCGGTATCTGACCGGGCTGCAACTGCTGAGGTGGAGAACAACGTGCGCAGGAGAGCCTCCTGAACGTGTTGCAGAGGTTTGCAGTCTCGTTTGCTTGAATTGTGAACATGTTCCAAAGACGTGCGCAACACATTTCCTCTCAAAATAGTCGCAGAGATGTTGTGAGTGCTCCTAACACTTCTCAGTTTTGTCGCCGGCATTCCAAAAGCTGCTGATCTCGTGCTGCTGATTTATTTCATGCTGCTGTGTTCATTCGTGCTCATCTGCTCACACAGGCTCGTGTTCGTGCTGCTGTTGTTCGGCGCATTATTAAGTGCGTATTTCTTAGTTTATCTTAGATCTTTAGTACTGTTTCTTTTACAGTTTATATTTTGCTATTGTTGGATGTAACTGGGACCCTGTGTACACAATTTCGTTCCACTTCATGTACCACATGTGATGCGAATGACAATAAAGAACCTTGAACCATGTGTCAGTGTAAAAACTAGATTATCGTATTTTTCGGACTATAAGGCGCCAGTGGTGGACAGTAACGAAGTACATTTACTTGAGTACTGCACTTAAGTACATTTTCTGAGTATCTTTACTTTGCAGATGTCCAGTAGTTGATTCAGGATTTATGCTAGATTCATCTGTGCCGAACATTCGTTGTTTTGTAAGCTTCTGTGTTCAGTTATCAGTGTTACTGTTTCCTCTCCTGTGTTAAGTTGTTGCTGTCAATACTTTTACACACAAACAATGTGGCGTTTGAATACTGAAGCTGAGGAAAAGACTAAATGTTCATCATCTGTTAGGATTTCCATAACTGTCACAAACATGTAAAATGCAGGGAAGATGTTATTTGTAGTTTACAGGTTTTATTAAGGCATGCGTTGGTTCTACATGTCAGTACACCGTCAGGTGGTTTCAGAGCTACAAGGTTCTGTAAAATCACTCAAAACGATGCAGCAATGTACTGATATTAGAACATGTAATTTGTACTTTTAAATTCTTGAGTATTTTATAAATGCATGTACTTTTGAATACTTAAGTATTTTCAAAAGTAAGTACTTCAGTACTTTAACTTGAGTAAACTTTTGACTGAGCAACTTTTACTTGTAGTTGAGTAAGATTTGACCATGAGTATCAATACTTTTTCTTAAATATAAGACTTAAGTACTTTGATTAACACATAAATCTGAGGCTTCCAGGGTAAAAAGGGCAAAAAGCAGGTTAAGGAGTGACGTCACGTGTGCCGCAGTATGACAGCACTGACGGGAGCTCCGCTACAACACGCTCTTTTTTTTGGTGTTGTTTTTGTTTTAACTTTTTTTTTGTGCCTACACTGCACACACACGCTATGAGTAGGACCGCGATGCTCTTCTGGAGTTTTGTGTGACGCTGCCTTGCCATCGTGGTTCAGTTCCCGGCCCCCTTCCAGCCTCAGGCTCCGGACTGTCATGGCGGCCTTCTCCATGATCCTACATCTGCCAGCACGGCCGAACTCTATGGAGCAATTCAGTTCCGCGGGGAAACCTTGGATGTTCTGTGTCTGCCAGACCTGGTTCCGGACCTGGTTCTGGAGGGCAGTAATAGTCCGTTGCAGCGGTCGTTATTGTTTTCATACTGCTAACGGCATGGTACAGCTAAGAGTACCATGCTGCTAATGGGACCATGTTGCTAACCTCACTGCCAACAGAACCACTCTGCCATTAGGACCATGATGCTGTAGATGTATTTCTTTTTCACTTTTGGCGCTTTGTTTTTGTATTTTTGTTGCATGCTTTGGTATTTCTTGCTGTTTTGTTTGTTTTCTGTTTTTGTTCTCGTCCTGTGCATTTCATTGCATCGTTGACCTTGTGTTGATCTACATATGACAATAAACCTAAACCTAATGTGGGTAGCAACCAGTAAAATACTATATGTCCTATACAGTTTTGCAAGCAGGGAATACAAAAATAAGCCATGCATTTTAAACATCGGGTGTGCAAAACCCAGCTACACAACTCGCTCGTCACTTGGTCTCAAACACTCAGATTTCAGTAAAACTGCAACATAAAAATAGTAACACTTTACAATAAGGTACACAAAATTTAATTAACTACTAGGGAACGCATCAGAAACGAATCAGGAGCTAATGGGTAGTTAACCAGTACTTACTGGGGAACACATGACCAAGCCTTATTAGGGGTCTACTGGTTTGTTACCACAGAAACAGAGGATAAATTCCCCATGTGGGTTCTGAATGAACCCTGCACCAGTGAGGTCACAGCTCGTAATTGTCAAGAACCTGTTTCCTAGTGATTGTTGATTTTATTGGATTCTTACCACTTATTATCAGTTTCATAATCTTGTACTGGTGTCATCTTAACGATGTCTGACTATCACTTACTGAGTAGCAAATCATTACCTGGCTGTTATTTTGTTCACTGATGTAGTGAAGCATTATACCAAGTACTTACAGAGGAACTAATTATTACTTAATCACTGCCTAACCATCACCTACTGGTTTGTTCCTGTGATATCAAACCAGTAGTCCCCTAATAAGGCTTGGCTGTGTGTTCCCCAGTAAGTACTGGTTAACTACCCATTAGCTCCTAATTTGTTCCTGATTCATTCCTGAGGCATTCCCTAGTAGTTAAACAAATTTTGTGTACCTTATTGTAAAGTGTTACAAAAAAATTGCATATTTTCTTGCATCTTTAAATCAAGTTTGCGTTGCCAGATAGTCTCTAACAGTCCAAGTGAGGTACGTACTACCTTTAGGAAACCCCTATAAGTTCTAGCTCTAATGCTTCCCACATTATTTGAAGTGCTGAAGCTGTGCAGAGCATTTTTACCTCGGCATGTTGATTTCTCTGTTGCGGGGTCGACGTGCCACCTTGCTGAAGGCGATCCTGACGCCGACGGCCACCACCAATGTGAAGGAAATCACTCCTCCGATCACATACGCCGTACTGGTTTTAAACAAACAGTAATTTATATCACTCAAAACAAAAAGCAATAATACAGGCAGCAAAAGAAGCATAGTGTTGTTTTCTTGTAGATCTGTTATTTGTCTCTTTTAACATTAAACTCTCCAATAATTAGTATTTTTGACGTTCACCTAAAATTGAAAGTAGGTAATCAACCTAAAAAAGTAGCAAAAAAGTTTAATGACTTTAATAAAGTAACTAAACATCTTAGAAATGTTTACTAAACTAACTGTATGACTGCTAAGAAGATTATTGTATTTTTCTTCAGTTTATGGCTGGTTGTAACGCAAAAGTCTAGACTCTGACCTGCTGCTCTGCTGCTGCAGGGTCTCAAACCCTGGGTCAAGCTTGTTGCTTGGTGGCACAGTGACAGGGACCTGTGGGTCGGCCCAGACTGGGGAAATGTAGTTGTTACATGTGTCCTGGTCCAGCCGCTGTCCCTGATGCTCGCAGCAAAACCGGTAGTGACAGGTACCGCAGCAATAAATGTAACTGCCCTTGGAACAGTTGAACGTATTGTCAAAGTGCCCCATGACGTCAAAGTAACCCCTACAGAACAAAGACAGAGAGATAAAAAAAGGAAATCTGTCACCGCTGCAAGAGTGTTTTGCCTGTGAGAGCTCTGAGGTGCTTTGAAATCTGGCGTGTGTCAAGAAACATCTAAAAGAAGACGTGGTTTTAGGTCACAGTTGTCGTTTTTTGGCCTCAGTCACTAAACATCGCCAGATCTGCAAACAGGATGATCAGAAATGACAAGCCCCGAATAAGTTTAAACAAATGCCCACGAGCAGATCTACGTTTTAGATTTGTCTTCCGATACTGCTGTATCAGTGTTGCTTCTAACTGCCTGAATCGAACTGCTCTTCAGTGTGGCCCACCAGCAGACAACTGATTTAGAGCTGATTACATGTTGCCTAGCAACAGCAGGACGCCTCTCAGTGCACGAAATATGAGCTTCGGTGAGATCGAGATGAGAGCTGCAGGAGGATCATGATGTGTCTCGCTTTTATGGCATCAAGTGGGATCAACACGTTAAATGCACAGAAATAAAGTCCAGTAATTTCCAGTCATTTTACATATGTTTAATATGTTTTTAATAATCAAAATAACAAACACCTTTTCCCAGTGATCCCACTTCTGACACCATATTGTGTTTCATTGTTACTGTAGTTACTTTGGACAAATAGGAGGTGGACAGCTGGTCCTGTTTGGCCTTTTGTTCTTCTTCCTAAGTCAATACACTCAAATATGTTAGACACACCACATACAGAACATCCTTACATATTATAAATGGTAAATGGATTGTACTTATATAGCACCTTTCTATCTTATCAAGATACTCAAAGTGCTTTATAACACAATCTGTGCCCTCATTTACCCATTCATACAGCACTCTACTATATCTATACAAAGACTAATCAGTACTTTTATCACATTCATACACCGATGGGACACACATCGGAGGCATTGAGGGGTTCAGTGTCTTGCCCAGGGACACTTCGGCATGTGACTGCTGGTGAATTCGAACCCCCAACTCTTACATTGGAGGACAACTGCTCTAACTACTCAGCCACAGCTATCCAATATGTTATATTGCTCAGTACATCATGTAGCTAGTATTAATATAATAGCCTACAGTTTTGTGTGCCTGTTTTACCTGTTTCTCTTGCTACCATTACAGTTCAAGAACTGAGCTGGTTATTGGCTAAAGTTTCCATTTTTGTGTGCATCTTGTTCATTTCCTTTGTCCTAAACGTGCAGATTATTGCTGACGAAGGCTGGACAAAGCAAAGCCACAGGTCAGATTTTGTCGTGACCTGATCCTGTCATGCAAACTGTCCAGCTCAGCTTTTTATCTGCTGCCTGTTCTTTTTATTTTCACTTCCACATGCATTTTGTTTCCCAGATTGTGCTTATTTGAACAGATTTAGTCCTTTTGGTCATCTTTAGGAATAAACATATTTAGGTTCTCTGTGGTTCATTTTAATTATAAGCAATATGTCAAGACAAAAAAATCATCAAACAATATAAGTGTACCTGCAAACATCCACATTGACCAGTTGTCTTGGAGGTGGAGCCACCTGGGCTGGGCTGTACGGAGGCCTCAGTCCGTCTTCCGTCATGTTCCTCGTCAACATGGTCTGCGGGAGAGGTTTTGGGGGGAGTTCAGCCACTGCTGGTGGATCGTCCCCATCCTCCAACTCAACTGCTTTGGGTGCAACTACGGATCTGCTGGCACCGGGCCGCTTATAGCCTGTCAGGAGGAACAAGGTGGCACTCGTTTTATCAGAGGCCACAGAGTTTCTGCCACCGTCGAGCGTCCTGGCTTCGCCATCGACAGCTTTCCGCTCCATAGTGATGGTTAACGTGGAAACAGGGAGGCAGTAGAAAAGCAGGAGGGTGGTGCAAAAGGAAAGCATCTTCTCTGAAGGTTTCATTGTTCTGTGACAAAGTTTTAGAGCCTTCATTTACAAAAGCCAAAAAGCAATTAAAAAATGTATTATTGGCGTCCTTCTCCAAGATGGCAACTTCTTGAATTATAAAAATCCCCACAGTAAAAAGTTTTCACGTCAGTCCGGTGAACTAGTCCTGTTTCATGTTCAGGTGTATGGGTTTCCGTCAGAGTTCAGTGGCTCGTCCATAAACGAGTAATTTCACTCCGTCTGAATGTAAACATTTGTTTGTGTACAAATCGTTCCTAAAAGCAGCTTGTGTAAACATTGAGGTCTTTCACAATTTTTTTTTGCCTTTTACGAACTGCCAGCACAACAGTCTAAATCATTATGCCAACCATTTATAAACAAGACGAATCAGCTGTATGGCACCAGGTTTTGGATGACTGATTAATTTTGGTCTGTTTGTTGACAAAGGGGCATTTTCCCCCATTCAATATTTATTTTAAATTGGCAGTATTTATAATAGTTTTTTTTTCTATAAACAAAAGTTGAAGCAAACTGTAAACTCTTAACAAAATGTCCAACAGGAAATCTTCACAGGAACTCTGGGCGCATTAGTTGGCGCAAAGTTTGAATCGTGAATAAAAAAACAATGGAAACTGTGGTTTGTAAACATTTAGTGCTGTATGTAAACTTTAAAATGCTCTAACGAACACTGGATCTACCCTTCTTGACTTTTGGCACTTCTATTATCCTGCGTGGATAATGTGTAAAACCATGCATGGAAATAAAACACTCCTAAAGTGAAATGAAATCTCACACGCTGTGCTTGTGTTTGTAAACAACAGCGTTGGCAGCTTCAAAGTTTTCAGCTTTGTTTGACGGAAAAGTTCAATAGAACATAAAAAGTTGGCTCAAGCTTTAAATTTAATTCTTTAATGTTATTTTCTATTTTTCGCCAGATAAATAAACTCCCTTAAATAACTTACAGGGAGATAATTAGTAAAGGTACTTTGCTTTAATTTTTGACGTAAACACGCAAATTTAAAAGTTGTGGATTAGTGATCGACAGTATCAAATCAGTCAGAGAATAGCTCATCCAGCAGATTCCAAAAAAATCAGATTATTCTTTGAAAGGCATTCACAAGAGTGTGAGCATTAAAGAGCTGGTGACAACTTAGAGGAAGAAGAGAATTTAAAAAAGCGGATCTATGTTCGTTTGATCCCGTTGCGAGCGTGTCTTTGCTCAGAGTTTAGCTTGGCCCAACAGAACAGAACGAAGGAGGGCTTGGGCCCGGTTCTGGCAGGGCAGCGAGGTTTTGCCCACAGAACAGACATGAAAGTGTCCGGATTCATCCGTCAACGAAGAGGAGCGCAAGACAAAAACGAGAACGGCTGATCAACAGTGATCACAGCGTCAGCGCAGAGTGCGGTCTAGAAAAATGCAGGTAGAAAACTTCAGAACGTACAAAGATGTTCTTTCATACAAACATTTGAAATGTGGGGGGTCTTCATTTGCAGTTCCTTCATCGAGTCCCTGAATGTTTATGTGCAACACTGTAATAGAAAAAAAATCACCTCCGGATACAAACAAACACAATCTTAAACCTTTTGAGACGCTTTAGTAAATGTATGGCTGGTGTTCGGTATGGCTTCAGGCTATGTGTTTACGAATTCCTTTCACGGGGAAAAAGCAACAGTGAAAGGTTGAAATTGCATGATTTTCGAGAAATGCCAAAGAGGACGAAGAGGTCACTGGGTGCAGATAAAGGGGACGTTTGCGTCGTTCGACTCGCCGTGCACGGAAGAAGTGGGACGACGAGAGGCTTCGCGAATATAAACGACTGGAAGAAGGAGTTAGGAAAAGTGTCAACAGTGTTTCACAGCGCAGACTGAGAGGAACGGTGTACGTTTAAGCCGTTGTGATAGCAGCAGAGGCGGCGGCGGTGGCAGTCCTGGTGCCTGGATTTGCCGGGTTAGACGTGGCTTGTGTCAGTGAAACGGCGTCACAGCTTTCCATACACGTCCGCTTTCACTCAGAACTACAAGGAACCATCAACTGGGCGATCTGTTTATAAAGCACTTTGAACCTATAATGCACTGGTTATAGTCTCACGAGGGAATCTGACTGTTGTGGCATGAAGAGCAGCAGACACTGAACAAAGTAGGGCGGTCCAAAGTAAAAGGTTTTAAATCTGATGAGAAAATTTTAATGACTTGATAGAAAAAATGAGAGCGTTATTAAGGAGACTGGTTGATTATGTGATAATTTCGAGATCAGTAGTTCCGTTAAAAACTTTTTTTTTTTGCTTTTCTCTTGACACAGTCAGTTTGGCATCTGGTTTTGGTCTTGCTTGGAACAAAAAAGTAGAAAAAAAAAAGGGAAGAGGTTTAAATCTTAATCCCAGCCTGCATTGGATGAAGTGGCGATATCTTTGCAGGAGCCTTGGCTTCGCCAGCGGGAATTATTTTCACAGAAACGTCCACTTGGTTCTATTGGGTCACTCTCTCACAGGTTCACATGCGAGCCAGTTTTCACTCTGCAAAAGAAGAACAGAAACACAGTGTTGTAAGAACACTTTCATTTAAGCTGAGACTGTTAAAGCTGCTGTTTGATGCTCTGAAAGAATGACTCAGTAGCAAACTGGACCATATTATTCAGACTGTAAGGCACATTTAAAATCCTTTAATTTTCTCAAAAATCAACAGTGAGCCTTATAATCCGGTTTGACTTATGTATTGTATACATAAATATTATATGCTTTATAAGAATTAGGTAATTTTACTCATATTTATCACCGTGGCTGGTCTGTGACGTTTAAGTCTCACATTCTGTGCCACAATCGAGCAGACGGCAACTCTTTTTATTCCGATTGTGACACTTGATGTTTAAAAAAACACCTTAAAAGATGACTAAAAGGAAGTTAGATTAAATAAATCTGCAGGAAAACAAAGCTTCTTAACTAAAAATCCATCTGAACTGTTCATACACTCCCTGCAGAAAGCAGGAGCTGACAGAAGAGATGGAAGCAGCCGTGATCTGACTGAGGTAAAGACAGAGCATGGGGACACGACACATGCCATATGGACTCATGTGACAGAAGGACAGAGGAAGAAATGGCTCACAGATGTGTGTGTGTGTGTGTGTGTGTGTGTGTGTGCGTTCTGTTTACAGAATGAGGCCTGCAGCGCTGGGAGTAGGAGGGTCCCAGAATAACACTGCACTCCCCAACCTCTTGTTTTTGAGCATTGTTTCCATCACTACAAACTGCACGGAATGAGTCAGTCTGAAGACGTTTGTCAATTGTGAAATGGAGATATAGTGCAGATTCATTTACCTACCAATTACTTAACAAAAAGATAGTTCTTTTAAGAAAATCAGACCACATAAATGCTGATATTTACTGATTTCCGCTGTACGCCTCTGACACTGTCTCTCCAAGTTGACTGTTCTACTGCAAAGTGAATGTAAACAGACCCGTCGCTCTATAACATCCCTTTATGACCTTCAGAATGTTGCACTTAGAATAGACACGTTTGAAATAAAATGTAAAAAAAATGACTGTAGTAGATGATGTAAAGCCTCTTATTAGATTTCTCCATTTGTAAAATAGTGCAGGGCTGAAATGAGTCCAGCATTCAACAAATGACCAGTCAGGTAAATTTGCTGTAGAAGTGTGAAAAGGGGCTGATTGTGGCCACAGATGTGGAATTATTTCAGTTTGAAACCAAAGAGCTATTCTGAAGTTGTGACAAGTAACAGCAGATCTGTGCTACCAGTTCTGATCCGAAATTAGGAGCATCATCATCACACTGACAACTGACATAATGTCTTTATTGTCACAGCACACAATATTTTTAAGGTTGGAACCCTTGGATTGATGTCTTGAAACAACTTTTTTTGTGACGAGCCGAAGTGCACCAAGGTGCTTTATCCTTTAACTCTCCATTTGAAGAGATTCTGGACAGGTCCACAGAAAGAAATCACACATATTAACCAAATGATTAGATCTGTGTTAGTTGTGTGTGTATATACATATATGTATATATATATATATATATATATATATATATAT